GAGGCGAAGGGAATGTGGGTCGCGATGTGGGTCATCGCGCCCCTCGGCCCCCTCGCCTCCATGCAAATCGCATGGCCGGCATGCGCGGATGAATCCGCACGAGTTCACACGAATCCACATCCCCCGGGAAGTTGGCAGCGTCCAGAGAGAAAGTCCACACATAATCGGATCTGGGGGGTGAAAGCGAGTGTCCACCGTTGCACTTGATCTTTGGGGGGGGGACCTTTCACCGGATATCCCTGCATTTTTCTTTCTCTTAGGTCGAAAAAAAGGAAGAAAAGTTTGAAGAAAAAATAAAGGAAATGAGGCGTTGAGGCTTTATCAGAGCACAAAGGACGGGGCTCGCCGCTCGTTCGATCATGCTCGTCGAAGATTTTCTCAACTTTTTTTTTTTTCTCGCTCCGAGGAGCGTGCGAATGCGTGCACTTTTTCGTGCCAAATATGTGAAATCGCGCGAAAGAGAACGCGAAGTGTTTCGAAGGTGTAAAAGGGTTCGGATGAAAAATGATACCGTGAGTAGAAATGGTTCGCAATTTTAGCACGGCGCGATCGTGATCGTGATCGCTCACGAAAGGCGGAGAAAGTGTTCTTTTGGCGTCCGTCTCGAGGGAGACGGCGAACGCGGATTCTGTCGGCCTTTTTCGAGCCTGGCAGGCAACCATGCACACAATTCCGAAGAGAGTTAATAATAAAAAAATAATAATAAAATAATAATAAAATAATAAAATAATAATAAAATAATAATAAAATAATAATAAATCTGAACACTTTCAGCGGGTGGCCTGCGACTGGGGCATCGACTCGAGCGCCCTCGAGGACAAGTGCGGCGTGTGCCTCGGCGACGGCTCCCAATGCAGCACGGTCACCGGCCTCTTCGCCACCGGCCACGGCGTCGGTCTGCGCCCCTTTTTCCGCCTCCATTCGCTTCGAAAAAATTAATTAAATTTAAACCTAATTAATTTTTCTCCCGAAGGCTACAAGCAGGTGGTCGAGATCCCGGCGGGCGCCTTCAACGTGAGGGTCGCCGAGGTCTCCAGCGCCCGCAACTTCCTCGCCCTCAAGGGAGAGTCCGGATATTATCTCAACGGGGACTGGTAAATGTGCTTTAGTTGCTTTCATTCTTAAAATGCGCGCGTTTATTATTTACTTATTTATTTATTACATCATAATTTCAATTACCTGTAATTTTATGTTATTTAATTACTACTACTTATATTATTTTATTCTACTACTTACACCATTCCAAGAAAAAAGTTCTCCCCGAGCTCGGGTAGATATTGTCATATTTCTCGGAATTGGGCATATGTTTCAGCTCACGGCTTTTTTTTAAATTTCAGTTTCTATTTCTTTTTCTTTTTAGGTACATCAAATGGAGCGGGGAATACGTGGCCGGCGGGTCGTACGTGTACTACCAACGCATGAACGACACCGAGGAGATCTCGATCCCCGGACCCGTCAAAGAGCCGCTTCAAGTCATGGTCTCTTTTTCACTTTTATTATTATTTTTTTTTTATTATTTTGTTGCCATGTCGGTGGTATTCTCTTGAGCGGGGTTTCAGTGGGCTGTCGAATGACTGCAGAATGGCTGTAGGTCTTCACGTGTTCACATGTTCATTTCTGACAATAGTAAGCTTGCAGCTAAAATTCTTTTTTTTTTCTTAATCTCCCGTTGCCATGGCAACACTTCATGCCAAATGGAGATGAATTCAAATCGATTTATACTATAAATGCAAATGCAAATTGCATTTTAGAAATTCAGCCTCAACTGACTTCCAACCAATTCAGAAAAATTTGCAAATGCAAATATTTCTTTTTTTTATGCCATGAAGAACCTTTCTCTTTTAAGCTAATTTTTTTTCCTGCAGTTGCTGTTTCAAGTGGAAAACCCGGGAGTGACGTGGGAATACACGATTGCGTCGGAGAATACCACCCGGACGCCCGAGTACCAGTGGGAGTACCTCGGGTGGACACCGTGCACCCGCACCTGCGGCTCCGGCAACCAGGCACTCAAAACTCCTAAATAAAATTAAATTAGGCAACAAAAATTGAAGGCAAAATTGACGACGTAAATTGACGACATAAATTGACGACATAAATTGACGACATAAATTGACGACATAAATTGACGACATAAATTGACGACATAAATTGACGACATAAATTGACG